GTGGAAGAAAAGGTATTGTAATAGAATCATTACTTTGGTTAAACAGACTAACAAGCTTTGTCAATTTAGGAGCTTCGTAATACCTTCTCATTAATATCACGTCTATTAATGAAATAGTAGTGTCCTACACGTAACGCGGGAATTACGCTGTGAGATATTATATATACGCTGAAGATATTGTACATTTTTAATTTATATTTATTTATTTTAAATGCTGTGAGCCTCTTCGAGCTGTTACAGGGTGCGAATATTTAGAGGACTGGAAGAAAATATACAAACAGAATGAATATTGCAAGCAGCACAACTCAAACTGAAAAGAAAACTATAATTGGCATAACACAACACCCAAAACAGCAGTATAGAAGCTATATAGTACAGTTATGCACTTAAAAATGTATATATCGACACTACATAGGTGTACACCTTCCACAAAGCTCATGAGCGAATTCGTATCGTGAAATGTTTTCTATCTTAATTTATTTCGTTCTTGGGCAGTTTCAACCAGAAACGAATGTTTGTTGACATCAACTCTAGGCACATGAAGCACATACAGTGTCAATTTTTGTGAAAGGAAACACCGGAACGTGTGGCCTGCGCACTCCAGCGGCTGCTGGCAGCGCGTTCAAGTGGGAACGAGAGCAACCAGTCTCTTTTCGCGTCATTTCGCGGCAAGCAAAACAACCATTCGTTGCTGATATACAATGACAAGATTGCAACTCCTCCCCCTTCAAGGCAATTACCGGCTCTCGTGTAATTACCTTCAGGCGGAGGGGTTGCAATGTTGCCGCTGGTTTCATATCAGCAACGAATTGGTTTGTTTGCCGTGAGATGACGCGAAAAGAGACTGGTTGCTCTCGTTCCCACTTGAACGCGCTGCCAGCAGCCGCTGGAGTGTGCAGGCCACGCGTTCCGGTGTTCCCTTTCATAAAAATTGACACTGCTCATCCTCACCTGATATCGCATCATGACCGGATATGGGTGTGTTCCAATACTCGCCCTGGGTGGACGGCGGCCATCCTAAGTTCCTTTCAAATTTTCACGAACGTTCATTTTTTTGTAGGTTTGAACACAAAATAAGCTAAAAACAAATATACGTTTGCTTATCTGAGCTTTATCTTCTCGACGCGAAGTGGCGTCTTGTGGCGTCGACGCCACCCAGACGCGTTTTACTTGTCGGACAACATGGCCGCGATGCTGTCTTCTTAGTGTTAGCCTAGACAATATACGATGGTTTCTGGAATGGGAACAAGACAATAGAATCGGCAAACGGTTCCCACGTGGAGTCTGCCTATAAGGGCTCGAATGATCTCAAAAAGGCGTCTTGCGTGCGGGTCGGGGCCTGAGATGACAATTCATATAAAACAGCTGGACGTTCGAGGAAACTAAATTCACGTTCACAGACTGGCCAAGTGTGCTTATATGGTGAAACGCTTTGGAGAACGGTGGTAAATCTGGCATATCGTTTTGTAATGGGCCACCACGAAATGATCAGCAACGCCACGCACGCATCTTTCGCCCAGATTCGTTCCGTGAGAATGAGGCACTAAAAGCAATCTCGCAGTCGATAACTGCTACGAGCTGCAGCGCTATACAAACGGGCTGCCGGTCATTCAACTGCCAGTGAAATCAGCCATTTACTCGCGAAAGCATGCATGCCAAACAAGAACAGCCACTCAGCGATCGCATCCCTATATAAAAACAAAAGGAAGATTTGGGACACGTAGCTCGGCCCTGCAGCACCAATCAAGCGGGAGACACGATAATTATTCTCGCCTTCGGAGAAAACAAAATTTTGTAGTGGTGAATATTGCCGGGCCATCACGTTTTTCGGGCGTCAAGTCGAGTTACATGCTGAACGCTCGCGCGCGCGCTGCGAATGCCCACGAACGCACGCGGCGAGAGGCCGCCGAGTCCACGCCCCCCAATTTCGAGCGCGTTTTTCATTCCCGCTGGCTTTCTTTTTTCCGCAGTCGCCTCCGCCGCTTCCTTTCACTTCCCACGGGGCTTACGCGGTGAGCCGACGGTGTTATGACGCTCTCGTTTAGCCCGCCTTGAACGAGAAATGAGGACGTTCAATCACACCCGTCGAAGAAAGTGGGCGATTAAAAGCACGCGTGCTGTGAGCAATGCGCAGCCGCGAGGGGTGAAAGCAATGCTCCGCTGCTCATGAGGGTCTCGGCAGGATCCCGGGTGAATACAGAGAGAAATCGGCGTGAGCAATGTGGATGCCGAGTACGCGTTTTATGTCCTTGCAGCCATCGAGAAAACGGGCCCCCTGCTTCTATTTTTGTTCTTCTAGAGTTTTCATTTATTATGCGGTCAATAATAGTTATGGTGATGTTTACCATGAATAAAAAAATGGATAATTGCTGCATAGAAATGCTCAGCCATTACGAGTTACCCCTGAACGAGCCGTCCCTGAGGCACTCGGTTATTCATTCGCAAAAGACTCACGGTGAAGGCGCAAGGGAGGGTAAGTTGTGGTGTTGGTCACACTTGTGTAGAATATGTAAGCACTGTAAGCGCGCTGTTGTGTTCGAGGGCTATCTTTGTAAATACATAATACGTTTATTAAGCATACCACAACGTGGACAAGCTATCCGCGTCAGTGAACATGTATGAAGCCACACAGGTTAATTAGGTGACATGGTTGCGAAATTCATCATGCAAGTAATATCCGCCTCTCGAAGTGGTTCAGCTCATGTTTCAACATTACGATCTGTACAGCAGGTGACAACTAGTAAGCCCCTTTCTATTAAAAGATAAGTTGGTATACAACCTCAAAACTGTTTAAAAATAACCAATCAATTAATTATGAAAGGTGCCCATAAACAGCTGTATATAAAGTGTTCGTGCCGGCGCATGCAAAATAAAAATATTAAAAATTAACAATACCATACCGTCTTCAGATAATAATAATAATAATAATAATAATAATAATAATATTGTGTTTATTTTTGAGTTGAGGCCAAAGACAAATAAAATAGGCAAAAAAGAGACTTTCATAAAACCACGTGTATTACAGAATAGATCGCACTCCGGTAAAATCATGCGTGGGTTACTTGCAGTGCCCACTTTCTTGTATGTTATCCACCCCCTTTTTTGGCTATTTGTTTTAATAAACTTCAGTTGTTTGATGCGCTTTTCTTGTGTCGGTTCAGCTTTTTATCCTCAACTTTGCAGCGCTGCCTTTTCCTGCAGTATGTTCCAACTAGCCTTTACACAAGCTTTTCATCAATTATTTACCACAATCTCACCCAGTTCTTGACGATTTCAATGCCCACAGTAGCTTGTGAGGTGGCTCTCGTACCGACGCTCGAGGTCATCGGATAGAAAATTTGCTCTTTTCCACTGGTTCATGCCTACTAAATAAAAAATCCAACTTTTTTTAGCCTCACAAACAAAACATATTCATCTATCGATCTTAGCATCATCTTTGCCGCCTTTTTACGTGACTTGAAATAGGAAATGGTTAAAAAACCCTACGGGAGCAACAACTGCCCAATGTTACTGAAAACACTCAAACAAAACAAGTCCCCACCACAAGTCCCATGGTGGAAGCACATTACAGGCTACTGGGAGAAGTTCCAGTCTCTTACTAACATCTTATGAAGCGACATGTCTTCCCTGGGAATTTATGCAAGTGTCCACTATTTTACTACTCGTATTATCGAGGGCGTCTCACAAAGTATATCTGACACTAAATATGCCACACGTCAATGCCGAGTTCCGTGGTAGAATAAGGAGTGCCCTAAGGCTCGTAAGAAACAGAACAAGGCCTGGGGGCTGCTGTGCGATTTGCTCACTGCAGAATATTTAATTAACTTTGAAGGCCGGAGAATCCGCCGTCAGTCTAAAAAAGAGAGTTGACAGAAACTCCCCTCGAGCATCAATTCTAACACGGATAAGACAAACGTATGGGACAGAATTAGTAGGATGAATTGACGTGAAGTATCTTTGCTTTCTTTGTTGAACACACATTGAAGACCACGCTTACTTCATCTGTCGGGTTTAACTTACCAGAACCACCTTACGATTATGAGAGATGCCGTAGTGGAGGGCTCCGGAAATTTCGACCACCTGGGGTTCTTTAACGTACACTCAAATTTAAGCACACGGGCCTACAGCATTTTCGCCTCCATTAAAAATGCAACCGCCGCAGCCGGGATTCATTCCCGCGACCTGCGGGTCAGCAGCCGAGTACCTTAGTTACTAGACCGCCGCGGTGGAGCGAGCAGCCTTACTTCCTGGGCGCGCATTTCCAACATGTATCAGGGGTGTCGCACTACTCTGATACCTTTCAAAGGTACAAAAGGGAAATAAAAAGACAAAAATTACAGCATAAAAGTGTGGGAAGTGAAGGATACAACCAAACCTTTTGCTTAGCAGAGCTGCCTGCAGCACTAAACTGCTGCAACAAATCTGCCCAGGTGCCGACCACGTAATCTACGACGTGTTTAAACACCTCCCCTTTGAAGCATGAATAAGGCTCCTTTGCCTCTACAACGCCATGTTAAAAACCCTATGGTTTTCTGCAAAACCCCACTGTTCTCTTGCAAGATATCCCTTGCTTGGAAAGAAGCAAATATTATCGCAATCTTGAAATAGGGTAAGGATTTATCTTCTGTTTTGAGTTACCGCCCAATGGCACTAACAAGTTTTCCGTGCAAATTGTTTGAAAACCACAACTGATCATTTTGTACGCATCGAATTCCACATCCGTGAAGCTTTAGCCCACAAATATTTTTTTTCTTTCTATATTCGTTAATATTATGAAAGCATACGACACTACCTCGTGGTTTAGAATTTTGAGGGACCTCTCACACTTGAGTGCACGTAGCAGGATGTTCATTATATTACAAAGTTACTTTTCGAACCCTATTTTTTATGTTAAAGTGGGCAATGCGCTATCAGGACCATTTGTTCAAGAAACAGGAGTGCCCTAAGGAGGAGTGCTCAGCTTCACACTGTTAATTGTCAAAATAAACTCCTTGTGCATGTGCATTTCACCCATTATATTTTATTGTACATATATCGATGATGTGCAAATGAACTCGTGTGATCTTGCCACCTATGAACGGGAAGTACAGCTTTGCTTGAACAAGGTGGCCAAGTGGGCAGGTGAGAACGGCTTCAGACTAAATCCACAGAAGAGCACTAGCGTCGCATTTTCTAAAAAAAAATAAACGAGGACTACACCTTGATCCGGACATTGATCTGCAGGGTCAAAGTCTACCTGTAAGAACGGGGCAACAAAAATTTTGGGGTGTGATTCTGGATACAAAACTAACTTTTGTACCTTATATAAAGTACTTGAAAAACAAGTGTATGAAGTCAACGAACATCCATAAAGTGTTGTCACACACTACATATGGTAGCGACAAGAATTGACTTTTCAATAATTATAAAAGCCACATCCGCACTCACCTAGACTCGGGGTGGTAATTTATCAGTCTGCGACCACAAGCACCTTTGGGATGCTGGACGATGTGCATCATTTGGGCATCCGGCTTTCTACGGGTGATCTTTGCACTAGTCCCGTGGAAAGTCTGTATGTCGAATCGATTAGGCGATAGCTCACCTGCAGAGATGTTACATGTCTTTTATATAAACGCAGAAAAAGAACACCCATCTCATTCCATGATCAATGATTTGTCTACTTCTACTTTGTTCCACAGCCGTCGTTTGTTGAGACAGCCCTACTCACTCCGTGTGAGGAGCCTCGCTGAGGAAATGGGTGGGCCACTTCTTGACCACTGTATTGGGCTCCCACTGCATATACTTGCCACCGTGGCAGTGGCAGCGTATAGATTGGGATGTATATTTCGTGCAGGTTACTAAGCATGCTCCTGTTGCACATATCCATGCACACTTCGTCGAATTACAGCACAAAAACTCATATCCTCATTCTTTTCCCGACGCATCAATATCTCAAACTGGTGTAACGTACGCCGCCATCAGGCCATGCACCCTTTCCGTGTGCCGGTGTTCGGCATCCGTAGACAAGAATTTTCACAGCAGAAGCTTATGCGATACACATGCAACCGGTAAACACATTAAACAATAAAATTACAAAATGCAGTTATACACACAGTTTTTCTAAGCGTGGTAAAATTTTTGCAAACTGTGAAAAAGTATTACAATGATTCCAATCTTTATTTCTGTACACTCAATCTTATGCACTATATAAGCACTAAAGGAGCACGTTGTAATAATCTGGGTCCCAGGGAACCGTGAGATTGAAGTGAACGTGTTGGCGGACGAACTAGCTGCATCCGCCCATCAAAACACTGCCATAACACCCATGTTTCTCCATGTGCTAGATCTTAAGCCCTTTTTAAAATGGACGCTCAGAGCTTATCGGCCGTGCCTATGAGATGAATAACAGCAAAATAAGCTATAACCGTTTAAAACCGCATATTGATAATTGGCTGCCGATATCTATGCCAAGTCGTACAGAAATAACACTTTGCAGACCTAAAATAACACACATACATAGCACACAAGTACCTTTTGTCCGGTGGCAATCCACCCTTGTGTGATAGATGCAGTAAGCATCTCACTGTCCTTCATGTTCTATTGCAAAGCGTGGAACTAGAGGCTAAAAACATTTTTTATTAAAGCACCGCTAGCAGTGACCACTTCCTCTCGCTATATGTTCATAGACAGAGAACCACTTTTCACCTAGCAATGACTGCTCGCATTTCTTAGATAAATTATTAACTTTAACAATATTTTCACAGCTATCTCCCAGTGCCATCTCCTAGTTGAGGTTGCGACTGCGGCACACCAATTAAAGAAAGCACCTGCCTCGCGGCCTTTGGGTTTCGAAGACTCTGAGGATGCATTGTGTGGTTTGCCTTGAAGATAATCATGCTCCCTCATCATCCATATCACACCCATAGGTAACATAACGGGTCACTGTCATATTTTTATCCTATATACATGTGCATGCACAAACGTAACGCGACGGCATCGGTTACACACATTGCTTAAAAATTTAGCCTGACTACATGACGAGGTCCGAAAGGGGCCCTGCAACACTTTTTCAACATGGTCAGAAAGCACTGCCGATTAGTAGTAGAGGCTCCCGACAACACGGGAGCCAAACATTATAGCGCTGCACGCGACCTGGAATTCAGAATAAATGATCAAAGTCAGCTGAAAATTGCTTTCTCTTCTCTCGACAAATAGCGCCATATACTCAAAAATCACACTTAGCGAGCCCATCTCTCAGCCATTGGCTGATTAGAACATGGCGCACTCGCTCGTTGCAGAGATCACCGTTGGAGGCCACTACTTGTCCACGCATGCGCGGGCTATCACACTGAACAAGCCGCGCATCCGAAGAAAAAAAGTGCTCAAGTTCACGAGGCCCGCGTGACGTTTTTCTGTGGCCCGCCATCCCTCCCTGCTTAGCTTCTAGCGCTTTTGTCGGGACAAGAGAAGAGAGAATGCAATTGCAGCATGCTATAAACCTTTGTAATTGTACTCCCACTGGACGAATTCTTAAAATTTTTGTGGCGTTGAATTTGTAAAGCAATAAGGTCTTCCAGCGAATTAATTATAAGGTTAGTTGAAAAAGTATTTCAGGGCCCTTTAATAGTCTCCCAATTATTTTCTTCCCGGCGGTGTGCCGGCTGCCTACTGTTTCCACACCCTTCACTTCTTAGTTTATTTCTGTCGGCATCGGCCACTGGAACGCATATTCGAAAAACCGCTTCTGTAAGTTGTGATGATATGGACTCTGGCATGATGCTCGTGTTTCTCTGCAAGCTTTTTAGACAAATGAGCCACTTTGCTGTAAACTGCATGAGATATGTCATCAAGGTACTATCATTCATCCTTGGTCACGTGTTTTTCGTATTTGCTGTTCTTAATTCATGTGATGACATAATATTTTTGAGACGTGCAGTTTTAACTCGATAAAGCTAATAACATGCATTTCCTACACAGAGCAATTACAGGAATAAAACTGAATGGCCCGGCCAATCCTGAAGTAAGTATGGTCAAAGTTTTTTTGTTCCCAGGAATTGAAAGGAATGAAATTGTGGCAAGTTTTCATTTCCAGGAATAGAATAGGAATGGATTGAACGCGCCCATTCCGCGACTCTATTTGGGAAACGCAATAAGGTTTGTCCTCCCATGCAAAAGCTACCTGTAGTACATGCGAAGCTGTCGTGCACAAAAAAAAAACTGGCTTGCGAACACCTATTTTGAGCAGAGTGGTATGAAGGATGCGGTCTCGCCGTTAGAGAGTAGTCTCGTGCTCCCAACCACGAGGCGTCTCGTCTCTGACACCCATTCGTGGAGCACCGCTTTCGTGGATTTCCTTCTCAGTAGTCTCCACTACATTGGTTAGCGCCTCGTATGTGCGCGTTAGCAGAGCTAAGAACGTCGCTTATTGTTCTAAAATTGCAGTGTACGGCCGGCGGCATCGTACAGTGGTGACTCGCCTGCGCTAATGCCCATGCGAAACATAGGGCCGTCGTTTTGGCCGGGAGCAGAGGCGGCGCTCAAGCAACGTACACCTGTCCAGTCTTTCTTGATTCCTTATTTTATTTTATTTTCGTCGCGTCCGTATAACGCAAACGGGGACAGACGAGGAAGCGGCGTGTGACGCCTGGCGATTGTGTAAGGCATCAGGAAACAACTAAACGGAACGGATCGAGGAGTTGCGTTTCCTGAAGGCCCATCAGACAAGAAATAGCTCACGAAGAGCGTAGCTCATCAACCGGTGCTCAAAAGCGCTCTAGCCTGGCAGCTAGTCATACATGACATCCGCCTGTAAGCCATGGAGCGAAGCAACCGAGAATTAAAATCACGTCAAAAAATTCGCCGCATATCGGCGAACAGCCAGGTACGCGAAACAAGCCCTTTTCTCTATGGCTGACGGAATGAGGCGCCCAGAAAATGTAGCTATATAGAATGTCCGCGGTATACAAGCAGGGAATGACTTCGTTACGGCGTTGGCTAAGCGCATACGCGACCGTTTAAACCGACAGGCTTTCGGATTCCCTTCTCAGGCGGCACAGGAAATGAAAAAAAAAAGAAAATGAACTGAGACCAACCAGTTTGAGTATACAGCAAATCTGAGCTTTTTTGACATGCGGAAACGTTTTACAGCCGAAGCAAGCATCATGCACTGAGCGAACAATGTGGCAAATCTTCCTGCCAAAGATGCCTAGAACTGAGTTGCTATGGCTTATGAGCATAAAAATAAACAGACAAAACATTATCAGGAAGTGGACACTAGTCTTCTTATATGCTCAAAAATATCAGGAGGTCATTGGAGTAGTAGTTAGGTTGTGTTACTTAGTATTCGATTGAACCAGACGACCTAGGACTAAATAGATGCAGCATGTCCTGCCCTTTGTTTATGGAGAATTGTTTACCATTGAGAGTTGTCCAGCATTGTCGTAAGCCGTATGATGCTAGCAGGACTGCGACATAGATAACTGCTCTGTACGTTTGAACAGGACGAACTTGTTACACGTTAAATGTCACCAGTGTCTACAGCACACACACACGCAGAACGCTTCTTTTCTCTCTCCCTCTCTCTTCGCGTCAAATGGGAAGAGAGAACACGCATTGTAGAATGTACGGCGTGGGCAAAAGGCCGCGGCGGTGGTCGTGAGCGACCTCATGCGATGACAGTCGTAGGGCGCGCTCCCGACCGTTCGTGCACTTCTCTCGGTGGCAGCACGACGGCGGCGTCGCGCGTGTCGCGTCCGCGGTAAGTGATGCACGGGTGCCGCCTTCGCCGTGACAGCACAAGTGCGTTCGTGACTCACCGACCGTGGGTCCCGTTTGTTCCTTCGAATCGGGACGCCGTGTGCGTACGAGGCAGCGGAGGCAGCCCGACGGCACAGGCTCGTGACCGCCTCCAAGGAACTCAGCGTCGCGAGTGCAAGCGAGAACGACCCGACCCGCCAACGCGGACGAGGAAAGCGGGGGCTCGCGACGCGTTGTGCAGGGGAGATAGTCAACCGCTGGATGGACGTTGCCTGTTCTATAATAAGATACTACGTTTCACGCGGATCCATACTTCAAACGCGTGCGTTTCATTTGTCATTGCGTAACATCTTCCGCTGGACGTGGGACGCAATATACATCGGCTGCGTTCGTGTAAAAGAATTACTTGTGAACTAGTTTTGAAGAGTAAGCAGAAAGAATAGATGAGCGGTGAAGGGGAGAAAGTGCGAATGGTTCACAATGTAAACGCGAGCGTAGGAGGAATAATTAGCGAGAAAGAAGGGCGAGTGTTTACCGCAGAGGACAGTCACAATAATGTATGAAGTTACGAGACCAAAGCAGTTATTTTTTAAGGATATGCAAGCCATCACTATCTTTGCTGTAAATATTATGGGCTGGAAGTGCAAAAAAAGAAGGTATTGATCAGAGGTATTGGAACAAGAAAGGAAGAATATTGTGATCCGTTATACTCCACTTCACTGCGTCTATCTACAAATAGTGTAGCTTTCAAGGTAGGCAAAGTCGTTCACTAACTTGATTCGTGCAATATACAAAACACCTTGAAGGAAAACTGTGAAAATCTGCCGAAGTTGAAATAGAAAGAAGGAAAAAAAACCAATCTCTTGAGACTATGCAGGTAAACAAGACGGACAACACGGGCTGCAACGTGTGCACATGGCGTCAGCTCAAATTGCCGTGTGTCTATTTAAAGCAGTGATGACCCCTACACCATTGTACTCTCGCGAACTGGAAAGTTCCACTCGTAAGGTTGAAGAAAGCCACAGCCGAGAGCCTACAACGGCTTCGTGCTTTGAGAATGTGAGCACGCCGTATATACAGCAAACGCTGTGCGGTCGTGAGACCACAGGGGCCGTACGTGTCTCTGCGTCTTGTGTGTAGATGCGCAAGTGCGTCTGTTGATTGCTCATTCGTGTACATAATAATAGCCATCGCACTTGGGCGAACCTCTAAAACGATCGCACCTGGGGTAATATACAGGGTGGTCTGAGTTTCTCGGGCAGACAACTTTGCTCCAAGCTCGCTCTACGGTGGCCATGGCACCGAGACAGTGCGGAGTGTGTGATAGCAGCGTTGATAATAATGGCTAGAGGAACGTGCGTGGTGTCAGAAACGCGTGTTGGGCATTTGCGCTGGTTATCAGAGAAACACCACGTGCGCACACGTCAGCACCGCCACTCGGTCAACATTTCAGCAGTGCAGGACCGTCAGCTTGATTAACGCGCTATGCGAACCATTTCTTAGCTTTCTATGCTAAATGCGAACCATTTCTTAGCGAACTTCGGCTACTTTGAGCGTATCTATCTATCTATCTATCTATCTATCTATCTATCTATCTATCTATCTATCTATCTATCTATCTATCTATCTATCTATCTATCTATCTATCTATCTATCTATCTATCTATCTATCTATCTATCTATCTATCTAGCTACCTATGACTTCTAGCTCTCCTGACCGTTTCAATTAAGGTGTCGATACAAAAATTGGTATGGCACAGCATTAACGTATGACGAGCATAAGTGACTAGTCATAACATGAAAATCCTAATATTTATGTCATGAATGTCATAATTTACACTTCATGATCTTGCTGCTCTTGTGGCAGTTTCGTTCACGTGAAATATCTCAAAACTGTTATTGTATGACATCACTACATGGTGAACAAAAGTGAAAAATCCTAATGTTAAAATCATATCCTATCATGTAAGTCATGACTACACACCCCGCTCATTGTGCGCTCACGGCCGTTTCGCTAGCTTCACAAATACCTAGTTTGGAATTACGGGACGGGAATGGATGACGAAGGGACATCACTGGTGAAAACATGGTAATCATGAGATGCGTTTGATGTAACAACATGGCTACATGACACGCTTATGATGTTATCGCGGCTGTTTCGCTAGCTTCACATATACTAAATTTGGCATTATGTCACGTGAACAGCCGACGAAGCTAAATCACACATCCAAACAGGATAATCATCATATGCGTATCATGTAAAACGTGACTTTATGCTAAGCTCATAAAGCGCTCGCGGCCGTTTCGCTAGCTTCACATATACTAAGTTTGGTATTACGTGACGTGAATAGACGGGGAAGATAAATGGCATGGACAAGAATGATAATCATGACATGCGTGTCATGTAAAATCATGACTACATGCTACACTCACAGTGCGCTTGTGGTCGTTTCGCTAGCATCACATGTACCGAGTTTGGTAATACGTGACGTGCATGGGCGACGAAGGTATATGAGACGTCCAAACATGTATGTTAAGCAGGATATGCGTGTCATGTAAAACATGACTACATGCTACGCTCACAGTGCACTCGTGGCCGTTACGCTAGCTTCAAATATGCCAAATTTGGTATTACGTGACGTGAATGAACGACGGAGGTAAATGACACATCTGAACGTGAAAATCATGATATGCGTGTCATGTAAAACATCACTACCTGCTACGCTCATAGTGCGCTTGTGGTCGTTTTGTTAGCTTCACATATACCAAATTTGGAAATACGTGACGTGAATGGATGACGAAGGTAAATGAGACGTCCAAGCATGATAACCATGATATGCGTGTCATGTAACACCACTACATACTACACTCACAGCGTGCTTGTGGTCGTTTCGCTAGCTTCACTTATACCAAATTTGTTATTACGTGACGTGAATGAACGATGAAGATAAATGGCGCGGACAAACATGATAATCATGATATGCGTGTCATGTAAAACATCACTACATGCTACGCTCATAGTGCGTTTGTGGTCGTTTCGCTAGCTTCACATATACCAAATTTGTTATTACGTGACGTGAATGGACGATGAAGATAAATGGCGCGGACAAACGAGATAATCATGATATGCGTGTCATGTAAAACACGACTACATGCTGCACTCACAGCGCGCTCGCGGCTGCTGCGCTAGCTTCAAATATACCAAATTTAGTAATACATGACGTGAATGGACGACGAAGGTAAATCACATATCCAAACATGATAGTCATGATATGCGTGTCATGTAAAACATCACTACCTGCTACGCTCATAGTGCGCGTGTGTCATTTCGCTAGCTTCAAATATACCAAATTCAGCAATACGTGACGTGGTTAGGCGATGAAGATAAATGGTGCGGACAAACGTGATAATCATGATATGCGTGACATGTGAAACACGACTACATGCTGCACTCACAGCGCGCTCGCGGCCGTTGCGCTAGCTTCAAATATACCAAATTTAGTAATACATGACGTGAATGGACGATGAAGGTAAATCACATATCCAAACATGATAGTCATGATATGCGTGTCATGTAAAACATCACTACCTGCTACGCTCATAGTGTGCTTGTGGTCGTTTCGCTAGCTTCACATATACCAAATTTGGTAATACGTGACGTGAATGGATGACAAAGGTAAATGAGACGTCGAAGCATGATAACCATGATGTGCGTGTCATGTAACACCACTACATACTACACTCACAGCGTGCTTGTGGTCGTTTCGCTAGCTTCACATATACCAAATTTGTTATTACGTGACGTGAATGGACGATGAAGATAAATGGCGCGGACAAACATGATAATCATGATATGCGTGTCATGTAAAACATCACTACATGCTATGCTTATAGTGCGCTTGTGGTCGTTTCGCTAGCTTCACATATACCAAATTTGTTATTACGTGACGTGAATGGACGATGAAGATAAATGGCACGGACAAACATGATAATCATGATATGTGTGTCATGTAAAACACGACTACATGCTGCACTCACAGCGCGCTCGCGGCCGTTGCGCTAGCTTCAAATATACCAAAATTAGTAATACATGACGTGAATGGACGACGAAGGTAAATCACATATCCAAACATGATAGTCATGATATGCGTGTCATGTAAAACATCACTACCTGCTACGCTCATAGTGTGCTTGTGGTCGTTTCGCTAGCTTCACATATACCAAATTTGGTAATACGTGACGTGAATGGATGATGAAGGTAATTGAGACGTCCAAGCATGATAACCATGATATGCGTGTCATGTAACACCACTACATACTACACTCACAGCGTGCTTGTGGTCGTTTCGCTAGCTTCACATATACCAAATTTGTTATTGTGACGTGAATGAACGATGAAGTTAAATGGCGCGGACAAACATGATAATCATGATATGCGTGTCATGTAAAACATCATTACATGCTACGCTCATAGTGCGCTTGTGGTCATTTCGCTAGCTTCATATACACCATATTTTTATTACGTGACGTGAATGGACGATGAAGATAAATGGCGCGGACAAACATGATAATCATGATATGCTTGTCATGTAAAACATCACTACATGCTACGCTCATAGTGCGCTTGTGGTCGTTTCGCTAGCTTCACATATACCAAATTTGTTATTACGTGACGTGAATGGACGATGAAGATAAATGGTGCGGACAAACGTGATAATCATGATATGCGTGACATGTAAAACACGACTACATGCTGCACTCACAGCGCGCTCGCGGCCGTTGCGCTAGCTTCAAATATACCAAATTTAGTAATACATGACGTGAATGGACGACGAAGGTAAATGACATATCCAAACATGATAGTCATGATATGCGTGTCATGTAAAACATCACTACCTGCTACGCTCATAGTGTGCTTGTGGTCGTTTCGCTAGCTTCACATATACCAAATTTGGTAATACGTGACGTGAATGGATGACAAAGGTAAATGAGACGTCGAAGCATGATAACCATGATGTGCGTGTCATGTAACACCACTACATACTACACTCACAGCGTGCTTGTGGTCGTTTCGCTAGCTTCACATATACCAAATTTGTTATTACGTGACGTGAATGGACGATGAAGATAAATGGCGCGGACAAACATGATAATCATGATATGCGTGTCATGTAAAACATCACTACATGCTACGCTCATAGTGCGCTTGTGGTCGTTTCGCTAGCTTCATATATACGAAATTTGTTATTACGTCACGTGAATGGACGATGAAGATAAATGGCGCGGACAAACATGATAATCATGATATGCGTGTCATGTAAAACATCACTACATGCTACGCTCATAGTGCGCTTGTGGTCGTTTCGCTAGCTTCACATATACCAAATTTGTTATTACGTGACGTGAATGGACGATGAAGATAAATGGCGCGGACAAACGTGATAATCATGATATGCGTGTCATGTAAAACATCACTACATGCTACGCTCATAGTGCGTTTGTGGTCGTTTCGCTAGCTTCACATATACCAAATTTGTTATTACTTGACGTGAATGAACGACGAAGGTAAATGACACATCTGAAAGTGAAAATCATGATTTGCGTGTCATGTAAATATATGACTACATGCTACGCTCATAGTGCGCGTGTGTCGTTTCGCTAGCTTCAAATATACCAAATTCAGCAATACGTGACGTGATTAGGCGACGAAGGTAAATCATACATCAAAACATGATAATCATGACATGCGTGTCACGTAAAACACGACTACATGCTGCACTCACAGCGCGCTCGCGGCCGCTGCGCTAGCTTCAAATATACCAAATTTAGTAATACATGACGTGAATGAACGACGAAGGTAAATCACACATTAAAACTTGATAGTTATGATACGCGTGTCATGTAAAAACATGACAACATGTTACGCTAGCTTGCTCATTAGCTTGCTCACCACCTTTTCGCTAGCTTCAAATGTACAAACTTTGCTATCACGTGATGTGAATGGATGACGAAGGTGTATGACTGGTGCAAACATGATAATCATGGCATGCGTGTCATGTAAAAACATGGCTGCATGCCACGCTCATGATGCGCTCACGGTCGTTTTGCTAACTTCACATATACGAAAATTGGTATTACGTGACGTTAATAGATGACCAAGGTAAATGACACGCCATGGTCATCATAACAAGCGTCTCACGTAAAATATGACTATGTGCTACGCTCATAGCGCACTCGCGGTCGTTTCGCTAGCTTGACATATACCAAATTTGGTATCACTTGACTTGAATGGGCGAC